CTCTCTCTCTCTCTCTCTCTCTCTCTCTCTCTCACTCACTCACTCACACCTGTGCATTCCAGGGGATTTGATGCCCTCTTCTGGTTTCTGTGGGGACCACCAGGCGTGCATATGGTAAACAGACATACATGCAGGCAAAAACACTCAGACACTTACAATAATAATAATGTTTAAAAATTGGGGGGGAAACAGTCATGATTCTTTCTATCTGTTAGGAATTGCAGAGAGTGTGCTTATCCATTGAATCCAGTGTGTAGGCCACTTATCTAATGTTTTATGTCTCAGTGGAATGGTTCTGAGGTTATAGATATGGAGGCATTTCCTAAGCCAGTGGTGTTTGTGAAATTCATAGCTTGTTGGTCACTTACTAAGCATGTTATTTTAGTATTTTGTTTTTGAAATAAATTGAGATTTTTATGGTCTTTGTTTTAGGTTTGAAGCAAAGAAGAGATGGGAAACTAAAAGCAACATGGGATATATGTAGCCTTACAGAGTTCTTCAGGACGTTTATGATAGACTGCCATGCTTCATTTACCAAAAAGAGTATCCTGCCTCGGTTTAAAAATGTCAGAAAATTGCTAAGGCTAGAAAAAGATAATCCTAAGACTTGGGAGCCGATCATAAACTCTTTTCAGTCTTTTTTCTAAGAAGTCTGTGAAGGAAATGAACATTTTTATATTTATGTGAGAAATTTTAAGCATATGTATAAGAAAAAAGGATAGAGTTTTATTTATTTGTATAAGCCTGCAGTTTGCAATCAATTTTGTGTTTCATCTGTTTGGTCTAGCATAGCCTGTGAGGTCCTTGTACTTCCTTATCTGTTCTTAGCATGGCTGCACTTTTTCTTGTGTTTTTCAGGTCGGCTTTTGTTTATAATGGATTAGTCATAAATAGAAAAATTCTCAATTGTTGCTGACTTTACAAATGACTTTAAACTACTTTAATGCTATAAAAATAATTATTGATTCTTTTTGGAGTCAGTAAAATTAATGTTTTGTTGTCACATAGTAAAAGGAATTGATTAATTTTGTGTAATGTCAATGGAAGTAATATAGTAAAAAGTGGACATAATGTATCTGGAGAATGATTTAAATTCAGCTTTGCCTAGAAAACATCTTTCTAAATATCTCTCAACCATGTCATTCTTTAAATTATGATTTTTTTTTTTTTGAAAAGGAAATGGTCTGATTGTGCTAACAGATAGTTGTAACTCAGGATATCATAACTTTGGGTTGTCTAACAGCTCATTTGTGTTTACCTCTTTCTCCGCTACTGCTTAAATGGAATGAATTAATGAGGCTAAAGAGAGAATCAATACCTGGGAAGTAATTGTCCTTAAGTATGTTTTACAGTCTAATGGGAAGAGGCTTTGAAAAGTCATTTGATAACTGGCAAGACTTAAATGTGGACACTGTGAAAAATGAGTCATAATTATAATACATTATTTTTAGACTTAGCAGTAACAATTTTATTAACTTGTGGTGATATGTAAGTTTTCTTCATATAAAGAATAATTTGTTGCCAGTTGTCATTGTCCAAGTGTTGCCAGGTGGTGGTGGTGCATACCTTAAATCCCAGTACTCAGAAGCAGAGGCAGGAGGATCTCTGTGAGTTCTCAGCCTGCCTGGTCTACAGAGTGAGTTCCAGGATAGCCAAGGCTACACAAAGAAACCCTGCTCAAAAACAAATGAAACAAACAAGCAAAAAAAGAGTTAAATTGTCAAATCTTATTTCCATTTAGTTGAGAAAAACCAGAGTACAAAAAAGCAAGATCTAAGAGATTGGATAACCACTGACTTGTCTTCATACCTTTAAAATGTTCCTGCGTACTATTTACTTAAAATAACCTACTTCAGACTCCTTATGAGTGAATGTAATTTTCTCTAACCACTACACATAAGATGAGAAAGTTCCTAGAATGGATAGTTTCATATACAAGGCCTCAGAACATGTGTTCTCATGGGCCTCCACCTTAATTTTCTGTTTTCTTTACATTCATTTGGGTCTAATGCTTTTTGTTGGCATATTTCCCTTCTCAGGCCTTGGCATCTTGTTTTCTGTTAGGGTCAGACTGTGGAGCCTCTCACTCAAGTCTGATCAGCAAAGCCCTCCTCACCAACACCACGGCCAGCAGTTTATCTCTCGGGGCCCTTTCTGGCTGTGCTTGTTTTTGCTTTTTAAGATATATTTATTTCCCTGTATGTGTATGGGTGTTTTGCCTGCATGTGTGTCTCTGTACTATGTGCATGTCTGATAAACTGTGGAGGGCAAAAACAGGTGTCATAGCCCCTGGAACTAGAGTTGTGGGTAGTTGTGTGA